AGCCTTTGCACTGCTGTCTTCAATCGAAGTTGAATTTTTGAGAATTTTAATCCTGCTCTGTAAATCACACAGAGAAAGAAGTCTACAACTTCTTCCAGAGAAATGCTTCTCAGATATGGAAAGCAGACTTAATCAGTGTTTGAGGCTATAATAGTATGCATCTCATTTTGATTCGTCACTCTGGCCGAATATCCTTTTCTTGTTGGGAAAATTTCTACTTTTACACCCATTCTTGCCTGGCACCACAACTTTTATTTCTTTCGAAGATTTTCCCACTGAAACCGGAGGAATACAGAAATTATGCTATTAACTGGTACTCTTGTAATACATTTTTTGGAAATCTTGTAATACATTTTTTGGAAAACAGAAAGTTCAGATCGAGTTAAAGGAACTCAATTTTTAGGAAGTCACAACAACAGTGCAGATACCTTCCGCTGCTACGTCAGTGTCTCGGCTGATTGAAGAATTGAAGCTGCAATCAGCGGAAGAAGCACATGCGTTTATTGGTGTTACCACATGCAAAGAAGTTGTTCAAAAAACGGTGACAATTCGTCGTGAAGAGACAGGCATGTTACTAATTTTAATCGCAATTAAAAATTCCTCGAGAATGTTTTTCAGTTCCTGCGGAAGATGAAGCGGAACTTCAACAAGAAATAGTAAGTCATCCTCAAAATACCAAATGGAAGGATCTTAAGGAGAGCGTAACTCTTACGTGCACGACTAAGAAAGACATAGAACACGCTTCATGGTTTAAGAATGGAATGAAAGTCGAAACAAGCGAATTTATTTCTATTGTAACTGAGAGAAATGAAACCAAAATCTCATTAAAGCAGTTCAATCCTTACTATATTGGAGTTTACCATGTAGTCGTTGATAATATTGGAAGCCAGCCAGCGCGAGTTTCCGCAAATGTCGCGCCGATCATAGAAAGCAAGTAAGTCTTATGATAATTGACCATTTGAATGTGGCAACTAGTTGAAATCGCATTTCAGACTGCCATCAAAGATTGTCCATAAGATTGGAAGGCCGCTGGATCTGCAATTAACATATGCTGCCTATCCCGCTCCTCATGTGAAACTACATCACGAAAATAGTGCCATCACTCTTCTAGCAGATATTGACCAATATGAGGATTCACTGTCAATCAGAATCAAAGATCTAAGGAAAGAAGACGATGGACTTGTGAGCATTTTGCTTTCAAACGAACATGGAAAGACCGAAACTTCCTTTGTTTTGCAACTTGTTGACACCCCGTTAGCCCCGCAAGATGCTCATATCGTTGAGCTTACACCCACAACTGTAACAATGGAATGGAGCAGCCCGGACATTGATGAAAGTGACATCATTCACTATATTGTAGAAAGAAGAATGGCGGAAAGCAGAAGGTGGCGAAAAATGACAAAAACTGCAAAAAAAGTGTACAAGTGCACTGATCTCGTACCAAACGAATTCTACGCCTTTAGAATACTAGCGGTCAACTCATATGGAGAAGGACTGCCTAGTAATGTTTTAGAAGCTGATATGCCTCCCGAGACTGAAGAGGACATCTTACCCGCCGCAATAACTACAGAGGATGAAGTAGAAGAGAAACGTAAGCTACTAGAGGAAGTGCAACTAGAGGAAGT